CTGTGCTAACAAAGCATGGTTCATGAACTACAAGCCACGCTTCAGAACCCAACAGCAAACTGGGCCTTCTTCTATTGGGTTGTTTGTGGTTCACAAGCCATGACTTGTTAGCACAGCTGGGTATGCATGACAAAAGAGCAACCCAGAATTCAGCAAGAACCCCTAACTCAGTTCCTAGTCAACCTGTGTTCTGGCTCATCATGCTATGAGAACCCAGTCAGAGTGTGGGCCACAGGGACAGTCAGGGCTTACCCACACAGACCATATATTAAAACACGTGCAGATGATGCTGGTTTAGCGATTTGTTAAGGTATTTTTCGGCATCTTTCCTTTTCAGGTTTGGGGTCTATAACTCATGCCAAAACATCTTAAGATATGCTGAAAGTGTTGGCTGGTCACCTTTCGGTCTCTTCCCTTTCTTTTCTTTGCTGCTCCTCCCGTTCTCGCTGTTCTCGGGCCAGTCGTCTTTTTTCACTGAGCAACCTGGTTGCTTCTTCTGGGTCTGTTGTGCCAGCAGAAGGCCTGCCAGAGGCTGAAGAGGGTGAAGCAGCTGGAACGGCAGAGGGTGGACTTGAAGCGGCAGCTGAAACAGTAAGACAGAATGGTCACCACTGCAGACAAAACGATGCACATGGTCTTTTTAAGAAACACATTGGTGCAAGAGACAGAATTTTTTAAATGTGAAGGGTCACTGATATTTTATTTATTTATATATTTATTTATTTAAAACATTTCTATGCTGTCCCCATCGCAACAGAGCCTCAGGGCGGCTCACAACATAAATAAAAATACAATCAATAATGTAAAAACTGGTACCATCTCGGCTATATATTAAAATCTATAAATACAATAATAATAAATTAACAGTTAAAATAACTTTTAAATAAAAAGGTATTCACCTGGCGCTGAAAAGCAAATAATGACGGCGCCAGGCGGACCTCTCTGGGGAGCGCATTCCATAGATGGGGCGCCACCACAGAAAAGGCCCTCCTCCGGGTACTTCACGGAGGGATATAAGGAAGGGCACATGATTCTGCAGTTGAGGAGGAAAGGTAGTAGAGCTGGAAAGATCCCTGCCCAAGATCCTGGAGTGGGCAACCACTGCCTCCAAAGACTGGCATCCAACATGACTACAAAGTACCGAAATAGCCATACTTACCTGGTGCCAAAACAAAATGTAGCCCATTGGATGTGACACAGTGCTATGGAGTAGTTTTGCCTTTTGGCTTTTCAGGCAGCATCCCAAGGACTGCAGCCCAGGGGAAAAGTTCTGGGGGGAGGGGGAGGCCCTCTCAACCTTGTAAATTTGCCCACCACTGTGAGTTGGAATAGATGGTATGATAGAGGGATCAAGTGTCAGGCACAGTGTAAAGAAACTTCATAGATCTGTGTGTATTAACTACAAAAAACACCAGAAGAACTCTGCTAGATCGAGAGCAGCACCTGTCTTATCCAGTGCCCTGTCCCAGAGAAGCCAGCCAGATGCTGCCTGTAAACCAATATGCACGACATGAGCACAAGACGCCTCCCCAGCTGTTTGGAGCTGCTGAAGGCTGGCACTGCAGTTGCTCAGCCAGGAACTCATGGAGTGGCCCAGAAAAGCTACTGTTTCTAATATACCTTTTATTTTATTAATAGCATTCTATTATTTCAAGTGGCAAAGCCATTTAAAAGGTAAACTCAACACAGGACACTAAAACCCTGTTGAAGGGAGGCTGCAAGGTGGGGCCATGAGGAACATCTCACTTGATGGCCTTTTTCTTCCTTCTCAGTTTCTGAGCCACTGCGGCAACTCTATATGGGATCTACTTCTCATGACTGGATAAGACATGGTTTCCGGTGGCTCATCACTGCAGCACCAGTGTTCTTGGCTCTGCCTCACTTCTCCAAAATTGGGAGAAGACTAGTCTAGCTCACAAGCTATCCCAGAGGTTACCAGCATGGACAATGGTGGCAACTGGCATGGCTCCGCCTCTTCATGACTCAAGGCTGTGGGCAAGCCATGGGTGAGCACAGAAGGATCAGATGCTGCCACCACCATTTGCCAGTCTTTTCCAGGTCAGCTGAAGTGGAGATTGGTCCTAACCTGATTGTACTAGTCAGAGAGAGAGAGAGAGAGAGAGAGAGAGCGAGCAAATCCAGATGATGCCAGAAGATTTTCTTCCCTACTATTCCTTTCTCAGGAAAATAGCAGGCAAACGAGCAAGTGGTGATATCTCTGAAGAGGGGGAGCTACCATCTGCTTGCCTGCTGGTTTTCTCACTCAGGGCCAGATGGTGGATGAACAACTGAGCAAAATATGGGTGCCAGCAGCCGCCACAGAAAATGCAATAGTGAGGAGGTGGTGCTGATGCTCAAGGGCTCTGCAAAATTGGAAGTCAGCACTGGCTGCAAAGATGACGTATGTGCACATTATTTGTATCATTTAAATGAAGTGAACAATAGGCCTGTCATAATGACTTCCACTGATTTTTGTGAATCAAAATAACATTCTAAATGCTACCTGTTGGAATGGTGTGTGTGTGTGTGTGTGTGTGTGTGTGTGTGTGTGTGTGTGTAGAAAAGTTAATTATGAAAGGAACACACTGGCAGACTGCTAAGCCAAGTCTTACTTTGTGTTGTCTCTGGTTTACAAGGAAGCCCTTCTTCATTTGCAAGCGCTCTGGGATTTGAAGCTGTCTTTCCAGGGTCTACCTTTTCCTCATTTGTTTTCTCAACTTCCTGTTGTATTTCCTTTTTATCACTTTCCAATTTGCGCTCATTTTTAACAGGGCGAATGTTGCCAGGTGAAGGAGGGCGTGGCTGAGTAGAAGAAAATCTGGATGATCCATGTGTTATCTTCTTGGGTACTCCAGGCAAAAGAGGAAACGATCCAGAAACATGCCTATTTGAACCACAAAGGAAGAGTAATAGCAGTGTTAACCACCATTTTTAAGGTGTCATTCCATTACTGGGTGTCGGCATTTAACATTATCACTTGCCTAACTGGAAGTGGTGGGAAAGGGAGGAAAAGAAATAAAGGGCAAACAAAAGAAAATTAGGGATCAGAGATTAAAATTAGAGATTAGTCCTCATTGCCTGATCTATGCAGAAGTTCCTCACCAATTTTGACTGAAACAAAGATTCTGGAATGAGAAGTTCAGTAATGTGGGGGGATGACTCCCTGAAAGCTAGCAGGAAATAGACTGTTCTACTTACAACTTATAGTTTAAATGTTCTCTTTCAAGCAAATAGGAAATGAACTAAAGGGTATGAAGATTTAATGCAGAGAAGTAATTTGAAGTTACAAACTAGATTTCAATCTTTTGTTTCCCTTTTCTTAATTACTGGTGAGAATTCTGAGGGGAATCACATGTATCCATTTGCTATTGGAACTAAAAAAAAAAAAAAAAGGGGATTATTCTAACTCTGGGTTGGGAAGCTTTGACTGGAGCATAACCTTGGCATGGCTTGATTTTCCTCCCTTTCTTGCAGAGATCAAAGTTCCACCTCAACTGGGTATCCTACTTCACTATGAGCACCTCTTTGTGGCTCAGAGCCAAAGAATGATGCCATCGGCTCCAAAGTGGCTTTTCGTTGCTCCAGGGGCAACCTTCCCCATGTCTTGTGGCAGAAGACTTTTGAAATGGAATTGCCTTTCACAAGTAAGTGGCAATATGGAATGGTATGTTCCAGAAAACTAAAGCTGACTAATTCTTTTTGGTATTACTAAATATGCATGGATTCCATGGACTCACTTACAAAGCTCTTTGGACCCTGAGTTCTTACTATACCATTCACAATCATTAACTGTGCAAGAGACTCTGGTATAAAACAGAGCAGTTTCTCCTGCAGCAGATGAGAAGTACACATTTCCCTAACTTCAGGGACTGAAATTGTTGCACTTTGGTGCAGAGTTCTGGTGGGTGGGTAAGAGGATGTGGGAAGTGCTTGTCTGTATTATTGTCTCTGAGTGCAAGTGGAATGTCTGATAAGGTTTGATGTCACCATTTAAACCAATATACTCAAGCATGTGGTATGAGGTTAAAATTTAACCTGAGGTGATCAACTGCAGGAGAATGGTCCCCTGGACCCTCCCATGGGCCATACACAGCCTAGCAACATCTGGCATTGCCTGTGGCAATGTCAAAAAAATGAGTGGTAATCAGGTTAAACTGAGCTTGGGAGCAAGCTACATTTGACCCATTTAATGCTCCATTGTAGTAAAGAGACTGTTTCTTTCCCACCGCTGTGAATTTCCATGGTGGTGAGGGTCATAGGAAGCCACAAGTACCATATGGGCTACACGTTGTTTACTCTTGTTTAAACCATTAATGCCTCTCTGATAATCTACTGCCTGAAAAAATAAATAACATATACATTCCTTTCACACACACTTAAAATGACATATGCACCCCCTTCATTTCTATACGCAGTTTATTTTGAATGATGGAAACAGCACTTTGACACCAGTAGATGTGAAAAGGAAGACCAAATAAGAGATGAATTGACTCCATGAAGGAAGTCACAGCCTTGGATTTAGAACAGCTAAGCATGGATGTCATGAATGGGACTCTCTGGAGACCTTTCATTCCCATGGTTTCCATAAGTTGGGGACAGCTTGATGGCACATAACAACTGATGCAAAAGAGAGCTTAAGACAATGCACACTGTGACAAGAAGTTACTTACCAAGGAGATGATTTACTTCTGAAGGTAGGTGAATGAGCTCTTTTTTTGCCAGAGGAAGAATGAGACAATGAAATTCCCCTTTCCTTTTCTTTTCTGTTACTCTAAAATTTAGCAATTAGGATAAATCAGCTCAGTGCCGATGGCAGAGCACTTTTCTCATGCACAATGTGTGACAACATCCATAGAAAAACAGCCTTCTTACTACATGGGATGAAGATGAGATTTGCACATAACATGATGCTACGGGTTACTGAACTCTAACCATGATGTATGGATGCAGCCATGATAACAAGCCATGGTTTCCTAATTATGAACAACTGAGCAAGAAAACCCACGGTTTGTTCTTGGGCTGTGAACTCTGGTTCATGTAAAACCTGGTAAACTGTGGTGCACATAAACTCAGAATGATAGGTTATTCATGAGTTATCTTGCCAGGCTACAGTGGTGGTAGGAAAGAGGCTTAGGAAAACAAAGGAGCCACTTTATATCTTAGTACTACAGCACCACAAATGAATTTGGTACACAGGGAAGGAATGGGCAAAGGAGTCAGAAGACAACTAGCCCAGCGATTGAGAAAACAATCCCTGGGTAAGCCAACAAATCATGGATTAAATAAACCAAGGGTTTGCATTTATGAGTTACTTGCTACCCAGAAATGAATATGATACATGCCCTGGTAACTTCCCAGCTGGATTACTGTAATGCGCTCTATGTGGGGCTGCCCTTGAAAATGATCCAAATATTGCAATTGGTACAAAATAGAGCTACCAGGTTGCTGCCAGGGACCGGTCGTTACTCTCATATAATGCTGGTCCTCTACCAGCTCCACTGGCTTCCAATTGAAGTCCAGGCCCAATTCAAGGTGCTGGAATTAACCTATAAAGCCCTAAACAGATTGGGACCAGGATACCTGAAGGAACATCTCCTTCCTTATATGCCCTCAAGTCCCTTAAGATCTGCAGGAGAGGCCCTGCTCTGGGAACCCTCCTTGAAGGAGGTAAAGAGGACATCTACTCAGAGCAGGGCTTTCTCTGGGGTGGCGACCAGACTGTGGAATGCACTCCCCAGAGAGGTTCGGCGCCAGGTGAAAACCTTTTTATTCGAAGGTCATTTTAAGAATTAGGGATTTTAGAAGTTAGCAGTTGCTTTCCCCGCCTCTTTTTAATTTTAATTGTTTATATTTTCTTTCTCTTTTGAATGTGATTCACTCATTTTAAACTTTGATTGTATTTCTTTTACTATTGATAGTACTTATTATACTGTTTACTTATATTGTCTATTGTATTATTGATTGTTGTTGTTGTTGTTGTTGTTATTTTAAGCTTGTAAGCCATCCTGAGATGCTCTCGTGAAGGACAGATAGAAATGTTTTAAATAAATAAATAAATATTGATTAATCCCAACTGATTGCAATCTTAATTATCCCTCTGTTTGGAAATGAAAATAACCTCAGTCCGTTGACCTAAAGGAGTCTTTCCCAACCTGTTGCCATCTAGATGCTGACCTTTCCTAACCACACAGTTGCGCCCTCATGACATAGCAGTGTAAGACCCCATTCTTCCGTCATGCATTCTGCCTCTAAGTAAGCTACTTTGTTTAGCAGACTAAAGGATACAGGCACGCTGTGTAGGCTTAAATAGAGCCATGCTGCTTCCCGTGGCTCCTAACCCTTCCCCCCAGCCACCACTCTTTCAGTGTTTCCTAGCTCTGTGCAGTTCTTCCACCCCCAGGGGTTGAGATGCCTTTCCCAAGGCTCAGTTCCTGCAGTAAGAACTTGCTGGTATTTTGTCCTACCCCACATGTCTTCAGCCCCATCTACCACTGGGATGCAGCCCCTAGAAGTGTTTCTGAAATAGAATTTAGGATTTCTAAACATTTCAACATTTGTTCGGAAAGAGGTTCCATAGCCCTGCTTCATTGCAGCTGTCAGTCTATTTGTAACTGATGCGCTTACCCCTGCCGAATGTGTCTGCCTCCGACGCCTCACATCAGGCGTTGTGCCAAAGAGTTTTGCTCTGTCTGCTGAATTTCGACAGCTTATGGCCTTGAAGGAGAGAGGGCTGATGGGGCTGCAAGACGCTGAACGAGGACAAATGGGGATGACTAGGGTATGGCGTTTTTTTCATGTACATTCAACAAACACATTAAAGGAAAGCCAAGAGAAGGTAACAGGAAGGAGTAGGAGGAAATGAAAGAATAAAGGAAAGGAATGTTAATACAAAGAGAGACAGAGACAGACCTAGACCAGCTCTATCACGCAATTATCCACAGATAATTCAGGGGCATTTAGGACGCAGCAATGAGCGTGAGACACCAAACCCATCCAAAACAGAGCAAGAGAGGCCATAGAGGTGATCTCCACTTCCTCCATTTTCATTAGAGGGGCTTTCTTGCCCATCCAGCCACAGCATATCTGAGAAGAAGGGCAGGAGGCAGGAGAGGCCTCAGGTTGTATTTGCATCCTGGCTTCTCCCTTCACCAATATATGCCCCTCTTCCTTCTCTTTGGGATTGTGCTCCCAACTTTGAGCAGATGGCCAGTTCAGTTTTTTCTGCACTGTCCTGAAGAAGAAAAGGGTTGGAGGTTGGGAGGTCTTTCAGGTTTACCATGCTGTCTCTGATCCAGGAATCCAAAATATCTTAAGGCCCTTCAGAAGCCATTTAGGAACCACAGGATAGCTCCCTGAAAATGGCAGGGTGCCAAGACTGTATCACTATGCCAGTGAACTGGCTATGCTCCTTGGATTCCCCCCCCCCAACATCACTGAATTATTTGTTTTTAAATGGAGCCCCATATATAAATGACAAGTTTTAGAAGACTCTGAAGCATCTGGAGCAGCTTGTATATTCAAGAACTGTTTTAGCTCACTATTGTGGAGCTATGCAGGCAAAAACATAATCAGAGAAAACCCAGAAAGGGCATATCCATCCTGCTAGATCACTTTTTTGTGGTCTGTTTGTAATGCCATCTGTGGAGACCCATGCAAGATGGAATTTGCAGCTCATCCGTTTACCCTAATCGATTCCTGTTTACTCTCTCTTTCAGTGAATGCTATTGCCCTGTACACCTACGATTCTGCAGAGGCACTCTGAAATATAATCCAACTGAAATGTCAATGCCAAACTTGTGAAGCACTTCAAAAGAATTGCCATGTATTGCACATATGTAACGTAATCTAATTTGCACATGTTGTTTAATGTGCCAGTCTTAGTCTACTTCATACACTGAACCAGTCTGCACTTAATGCTAAGCAAGGATTGAGCATTACATGTACCAGACTCTGGAAGTTCAAGTAAAGGATCAAGTTTGCACATTTCCCCCTTCTCCTCCCACAAGACAAAGAGCAGGACTTAATACATTTTCTGTGTGTTTGTATGCACATGTATACACATGTGAAAGAAAGGAGAAGCACCTAAAATAGTAAGAGGGATAGGTTTGAATTAACCCACAAAACAAAGATGCAGCAAAGAAAAACCTATATAGCCCAAAACTTTTGTATGGAAAACATTTAACATTTTTCAAGTGGCATCAGAGTACAGTTGCATTATATATTACAGGACTACATCCCTTCTGCTATCAAACAACCAGTAGATGCAACAATTTCTAAGATAAGACATGGACTGAGGCCCAAATTATTTTTTTATGGAAAATTAATGCAACATGGCAGCCTGTTCATAGCGAGAAAAAAAAATACTTCCAGTGAGTTTAGTAAAGAGCAGAGAAGCAAGAGGAGTGATTTTACTCTTTCTCCACTCCCAAACAGCAGTATCTTCTGTAGGGACAGGTGCTCTCGTCCCATTTTCCCAGTCCATATAGCATCCCCTAAAACTTAATACATGAATTGGCCCTACTAGTTTATGGTCCATAACTCAGCATTAATCAAGATAAAACTATGCATTGTGTACTGACTTTGACTGGTGCTCTCAGAAATTCTGTGCAGAAGAGACTCACATTTATAAATGCAACCAGACATGTTACTATATCTTCTTCCTAGCTCTTACACACAGCATAATGATGTTTACATATTAGTATTAGCCTTTCTTGTAAGAAGAAAGCATATACAGGGAATTCTATGCTTGCTTTGCTGGTCTACTTCTTCCTGCAAAAATGTATCTGAGTAGAAGTATTGTACATCTTAACCTAACTACATGCCTACTCATAAGTCCAGTTGAATTCTGTGGTGCTTACTCGCCAAAACATTAGCACAAGATGGCAGCTTAAGGGGTATGAGGCATTTATTGTGCACTGGTGATTCCTTATCAGTGGTAGTGTGTAGGTGTTCTACATGATGACATTGCCCTCTCCCGTGTTATTCAGCTTTTTTTTAAGATCAAGAAAAGTGATCCATGAGAGTCAGTGTGGTGTAGTGGTTAAGAGCACGGGACTGGGAGTCAGGCGATCTGGGTTCTAGTCCCCGCTCAGCCATGGAGCCAACTGGGTGACTTTGGGCCAGTCACAGACTCTCAGCCCAACCTACCTCACAGGGTTGTTGTTGTGGGGATAAGATGGAGGAGGAGAATGATATAAGCTGCCTTGAGTCCTTTGAGGAAAAAAGGCAGGATATAAATCAAAATAAATAAATAAATAAATAAGTGTGGTATTATTTAGAAAAGGCACTCCAAGAAGCTTGCGTATTTTTACAATTCTTCTATACTGCAGTGCTACCTAGAGGGTGTGTAATGGGACATACAAAAAGACAAAGAAAGAAAACCCAGGAAAAAAACACATGGGGATGAGCTGATCTTAATCAAAAATTCTGAAGCAGAGACTTTGGTAAAGTAGGTTAAAAGCCTCATGCAGACAAGCCCTAAAATATATTTATGACACACATACTGGACTCTTTCTGCAGTTTCAATTATTTCAGGTTTAATTCTGCCACTCCTGCTATTGTTCTTTATTGTGAAACAAAGCTGAAGGCATCTGGGAATTCTTAAGTATTCAAAAGAGTTTTTAATATATTACTAAAATTTCCTAGTGAGGATTTACCTTAACTGTAGTATATAAGCTGTGAAATCAATAATTTCCTAACTAAAAACTGAGAGAGACGGAAGCATCATCCTGGATGAATTTGACACACTGGATTTTGGAACACACATGTGACTTTTCCTGAAGTCTCTCAGGACTTGATTCAAGTTATTACATTCTTCAGGGTCCTTCCAGTCTAATGTCTCTTTTTGTCGCCTGTCAAATTATTTACATAAAAAATGAGGGGAAATTTTAAGGCGTATCCTGCGATAGAAATTATAGTTGTCACATTGGGGAATCATTTGAGGTCATTTTAATTTTCTTGAGAGTCTGCAATGTTAACTCATTTGCTTCTAAGCCAGGTTACACTCCCAGATTTTTTTCCTTAAGCATCTCATAAGTCTTCTGGGAATTCCCTCTGTGCTTCTTTCATTCTTCCTTTTTGTTAGGAATTAAGAGCCAACTAAACCTTTGTATACACATAGTGAAAAAAGTGTGATAGGGTTTTTGTTTTTTTCAATGTAAGTGCTCAAGGCCCGGGTTCATACCAGGACTGTGGCACTCCAGAAGGGACTTTTAAACTTCCCCTACGCCTCATTTTCATTCTGGGAATCTTCTCCTCACTGGTGTTGCTGCTACTTGCCACCAAGTTGTCTCCAACGTATGGCAGTACTACATGGGAATGCCTTCCAAAATGTCCTGTACTTCACAACCCCACTCGGCTCTTGTAAGCGTCAGGCTGTGGCTTCCTTCATGGAATGGATCCATCTCATATTTGGTCTTCCTTTCTTTTATGTTTGACTTTCCCAGGCATGTCTTCTCCAGGGAGTCTCGCCTTCTCGTGATGTGACTGAAGTAAAACAACTTCAGTTTTGCCATTGAGGGGTGGAATTTTGGAAAGAAAAAAGATTATATTCTCTGTTCCAGAGCATTACAGTTCCATTCTGGAAAGGGGCAGCACGTGCTTATGCTGGAGTAAGCAAAACCTACCATGCATAACTTAAGTATAAATTGAAAATGTTTAGTTTGCCCCTCAGTTGTGGATGCTACTAGGAAAGATAAACTGCAATTTATTTAGGCCATATTCCAAATTTTGTGCCTGGCTGAAACTGGCTGAAGGAAATACAAAGTAGAAATGCTGAAAATATGAAACAGGAATGAACAAAACAAGCCTCTCTTTTGCAATTTTTATCAGAATCTCTCACACAGAAGTGTTCTTCTCAATGTTAATGTTTTTATCCCCCTCTTTTAAATTAAAAAAAAACCAGGACAAAATATCCTCTGCTAAATATTCAATGAACAGTGCATTTCTTTCCACATTAACTGGAAAGAAAGCCTCAGTGAACCCAGTGGAACTTACTCTGGAGACCACCGGTTCAGGATTCTACTGCAAGGGTACAAATCAGTAACTGGCACAGACAACCTGATACTGCACACTCAGGGTTGTTGTTGAAACATGATTATCGTGTTCTCAGAACCGAAACCATGGGCTCTCTTCGTGGGTTGTTTCTGATTAACAAGCTGTGGCTGAGATCAGACAACACGATAATCCAACAACAACCTACATTCAACCCTTGACTGTGAGTTACTATGTTGTCTGAACCAAGTCAAGGAAAGCTAGTAAATTCTAGTTGCCTTAAGGATAAATTGGACTGAAGTCCACTGAATGACAACATTAGTGCAAAGTCAACAGAGCTTGCTAGCATAATGGGTTTCCTGGGAATTATGTTGTGCTAGCAAGCGATCCTGACTTTGCACAACTTGCGCTTTAACTCCCTATCAATAGCCCTAGTGCTATGATACTGTTGCATCCTTTGCCTAGATGTCAAAATAGCATTTTTGAATGCATCCCAATTGGATTAATGAGAGACTAAAAGGGACTAAGAACATTTTGCTTGATGGTGCCTTATGTCCTTGATATGGAAATGTTCTTTCTCTCTCTTTTATGTGTTCATAAAAGAAGGCTGGATCAAATTTGCCCGTTGAAATCCTACTGGGATATTTCATTTTTTAAAACATAGGGTTTTGAAACAATACAGCATAGAGAAAACTCTGTTGATAAGTTGTTGATGATATAAAACAAGGGGAGAAGGGGAACTAAAATACTATTTTTAAAAAAGGTTAGCAATTCTAAAAGTATCAAAATTATTTATGGAGTGATACATATATAAGAAAGGCAGGATATTGGCAACAGATGTGTGTAGCCCTGGGCATCTCTATGGCTTACCAGCAACTAGAGCATTTTCTATCCTGATATTAGTAAAAGAGAGAGAAAAGCAAAAAGAATTTCAGAGATGAGAAAGAAAGAAAACGCAGGAAAATCTTCCACACTGCTGCCTGAGTCAGGGAAGGAGCTGCAGTGGCAGAGCCCCTGCTTTGCATGGAGAAGGTCCCCACATCAGTTCTCCAGGCAGGGCTGCAAAAGCTCCTTGGAGGGAGAATCGGCACAGCCGCTTGTAGTGCACAGAATTCTGGGTTAGGAGGAGCAGTGGACAGACTCAGGGTTAGGCCAAGTTCATTCAACCTTCAGCCAACCCAGCCTGACGTTAATCCCAACAAGCTTAATTTTAAAACCGTCTTGCAGAGACTTTTAAAAGGTACAGTCAAGCAGAATTAGTTTCATAATGCTTTCATTTACCTGCATCTCCCGACAAGGTTGCTGCACTTTTACTTCTGGCCAAGAAGGAATGTGTGGGCGTCAGGAGTCTGCTAACAACGCTGCTCTCCCATGGACTTAGCTGCAGGCGTCGAGCTGAGTATCACCATATAAGTGAAATGTTAGATCAAGCATCTTCCACAGATGAGCAGCCACCATACACAGTGGAAAAGTAACAACGCTTTTCTCCATTTCACAAAGAGGTTATTTGTTAAAAAGCTTTTGCAACACTGTCAATTCCTCACCCCATTCAGTTTTTAAGTTATATATACCCATTTCACATTTAGGGTCAGCATTCCTTTTCAGGACACTGTTGACATCAAATATGACAGTGCTCTGACAAACTAAAATGGTCTGTTAGTCATAACAAGGATATTTGCATTGTAAACTTCAAGGGTACAACACAGTTACTATAAAGAAAAAAATGCTTCCAACCACATCCACCAAAGTTTGTTTATTCTATCAACCATCAAAATGAAACCATTTACCTTATATATTTTGGTGGCTTGAAAAAAGCAGTTGTGCGACTGCACTTGTTTCAAGTTACTCCTAGTGATGTGCAAAAAAGAAAATATTGGGGAGGCAAAGAGGAAATGCACGTTTCTTTTTCATGTGCCATGAGGTATAGCCAAAAGCAAGTGGGCACAGGCCCTTCTGCTTCTTGGTCAAAGGAGTGATCCTATGGCCCTTCTAGACATTGTCTAAGCATGCCAGCTGCATCTCCAAGGTCAGGAACGAAACTCGGAGGGAAAGTGAAAAGCGAAGGAGGCAAGGAGATGGGGTGGGCACCAGGACAGAAGGCATCCTGACAGTGCTTCGGTCTCCGTTTCTCCCCTCCAAAGGGCCTCAGCCAGATGCATGGAAACAGCCAGCTAGCTAAAGCACAGAACAGGAATTCTGTGAAGGTATAGGCTGCCTCTGCCTCTCTTTCTACTCTGCAAGTCACTGAGTTCAAGGACTCGCAAGCGTAGAGGGCACAATTGACAAAACCACACCCTAAGACTTTCATGCCATGGGAACATTACTTCAAAGTCTACTCAGACTTTCAAATGGGAATACTGTTGCTTTTCATATACATGGAAAAACAGCTCTTGCAGTGCAGGAACCCATATTTAATTTTAAAATGACATCTGAAAGTGATGTATGTTCAGCCAGAGAAACAAACAGCCGTACACATAAACTGCAAAATCATAAGCTTCAGAATCATAAACTCAGGTCTGAATCAGACTAAAGATGCTTCAGGGTGAGACTAGTCCTCATCCTTAGGTTTTTATGGGAATCCAGCATCTTTGACTGGTTTTGCACAACCTGAGAAGCCATGGGGCTTTCAAGCTACCATGGCCTAGTTGTGTTATGCGAACCCAGCCTAATTCCCATGCAGTGGCTACAAAGTCAGCCCCAGGAAGATAAGCCTTACTGTATGGATTACTGAATTCTCCATGGCTTAGCAAGAGGCCTGAACTTGGGTGACATGCTACGCCACCGTCAAGCCAAAACCTACAGAGCTTTGTGGCCAGAGGAGCAGAAAGCTTGCTGCTCCAGCCGTTGGCATTCCTGTCCCACTTTCCTGGCACCAGGAGTGAGGGGTGGGAGGAGTGTGTGGGGACATGGGCACTACGTGGCCCCTCTTCCCGCCCTTCAGGGGATGGCTGCCGAAGGGCAGCGCCGACCAACCGTGAGGACAGTGGGGGGAAGGCTTGCTCAGCTGGCGCCACTCTCGGGGAGAGCCAGCTGAACATGCGCCCTTCCCACACCTGCCGTTGTCCATGTGGGTCTCCCTGTGGGGAGGCTGGGTTTCCCTGAAGGGGGCCCAGCTGAATGCGCCTCCCCTGCACACCGTGGCAAGCACTCCATGGGCAACCACTCTGGGAGGTGCGGGGAAGATAAAACACGATCCCCTGGATGGGGCTGGGCTCTTCCTCTCCAGGCACTGTTTGGCAGCTATCATCCCTGCTCTGTTCCCCTCCATGCCCTTGCATGGGAAGAGGGCGAGAAGAGGCAGATCAGGCCCCTGCTGTACCCTATTGCCTGTTGGCCACATGGGGGGCGCCAGACAAAGGAGCCTCTTTGCATGGCTTATAAGCCACCAAGGCCTTCCCACTCCGGGTGAATCCACCCTCTTGCATTGCCACCCTCCTGTTTTTTCTCACCACAAAAACCTTTCAAGGAGTGAAACACAAAACAGTTGCACAGTGTTTTTTTGAATGAGAGCACCAAAGGCAGAGTATTTGGAAGCACTTACTATTAAAATTAGGTCCCTTGAAAATTAGTTGGAATCATAACTTATCAAGTTCCATTGATTTTTATTCCTGTTCCAGCCACACATATTTGCAAGTAGCACCAGTTACTTTTGCATATCCAACTTATCACTAAAGTAATTTTAAAGGTACAACATGGATGTCCCAAGTCACACCTCTATGTTTTAAGAAAACATCTGAAATGTACCCAAACGCTAATGGTACTTCAAGGAGAGGGAGGGAAGGAGGGAGGGATCCTGAAAGAATGACAAGTTCATCCCATGACAACTCTAGTCTCTCGACACATCACCATGCATTTTTGTCCTTTAATTTTATCAGTCTAGCGAAATGGCTTTACATAAAAATCTTGTTGACTTGTCCACAGAAGGTTGCCAGCATAAAACATCCTTACGTAATGATCTGTTGCAAAAGAGGTTTTCAATTAATGGTACCATGTTCAGACACATTACACAGAAGTACAAAACATAATATGGCTGTCCCTGTTAAAGCAAGTGCATCTTAGCAATGCAGAGAGGATGAAAAAGATGTAACACCATTTGCATCGTTTCCCTTGCTCAGCTGCTTTATCCAGGGCGCAGCTTCATTTTGAATACTATGAAAGCATTTGCATTTGTTCTCTGGCACTCCATCCGCACACATTCATTTCAATAAAACTCTTCCCTAGCCAAGTACAATCTCATGAGAGGAAGAGACCAAAGTGGGCAGGCAAACCTTGCCACCCTTTCATTTTTCTGCTTCCTCCTGCTGCTTCTATTAGCATCCTCAAGCTATGTGTTAGGAAGCAAACACAGAGGTAGGAGCCTTGTGTTTCCCCTAATGCAGCGATGGAAGGTCATTCACAGGGAAGAACCAGTGGGAAGAGGGATGCTTAACTCTCATCCTGCCTGCCATTTCTCCCCAGCAAATGTTCCCCCAGGAAATTCCAAGGCCAACCCCAGGCAGCTCCTCCCCCCCTCCCCTCACATCTCTGGCCAGGGGGCTCTGCTAGGTAACAGAAAGGAAGAGGAGGTCCCATTCCCATTCCCCCCTCTCCCCTGGAGGCTTTGCGTGTTGTGCAAACCCAGTCACTGTCTGAAAGTAAGTCTAGAAGGAATTCTCCTGCCTCCAAACACTCCCCTACAAATGCTCTCTGTCTCTGGACTTGTATTAGCTTAGTAAACATGTACAAGATTAGTTAGCTAATGGCAGAATCTTCTATCACTGATAATTTAGTGCTATTCTCTACTGCACATGATCCACTGAAGGTCACATTTGGGAGGATGGTGATTCTGTAACATTTCAGTACTGAATCAATAAAAATTATATTATCAGTGTACAGTGTTATGTACATGCAATATATTGGAAAGTTTTTATGAAGTTGTAAAGACAAATTGCCAAATTAGCTATAAAAGAAAATTGTACTGCTCCTAAAAGGTGCATATTATAAAAATATTACAATTACTTAAAAGACAAAATAATCACATACAATTTACAGGCATGCGCACGCTAAACGGTTTTGTAATATTGATTGATGTTAACTATCAGTACCATCCTTACCCCAGCCCAAAACCCTCTGGTTATTCAGCAGTGTGCATGGTTCTCTTTTGTGCACTACTGGACATATTTATTTCAGTGCATTAAAGAACATGCATGAGAACTCACTTCTTTCAATATAATTTTATCAGCTTTTCTAGTTGAAAAACAAATCTTATCATTTGTGAAAGTGAGATGATGGCACAGAAAGAGAAATTGTAATATCACTGTATCTTCTTTCCCACTATCTGAAATAACACTGTGTGAAGTTCCCTCTGCTAATGCCGGAGAACAGTAGCATAAGCACATGGAACAGGAAAAGCAGCAAATGAACGGGTTCCGAGCTTCCACACCTGGAACAGATGGGGCAGAACTGGACTTTCGAGGTTTGCACGAATAGGTCCTGAATACACGAGGTAACACAACATGTACAAATGCTTCAGAGTACAGCCAAGAGAAAGGGGGTAGGATATTATGAGGGATATGTTGATGGATAAAATTAACAACAACCTCAACAAACTCAACTGTCATTCTTAACAGGGAAAAACCCCACAGCAATTTCTACCTACTTAGCATTAGTCAGAAGAAATATGTGTATGTTTTTCACTAGGCAATAGGCGTGAAACTATTTGGAAGGTGATTAATTTTGAACCAAAAACATTGCAACGATAGAAGGGGTGAGTGTAATATGCATAGTTCTGAAAAAGTTTTAAGGAATAATTTAAACCTAGTTCCATGGGGACACTATTACGAGGGGGAAACGGTTTTAGCTATAGTCTACAGAATTTCTACAGTCAAATGAGGTCTTGTGATTCGATTTATTCTTTCTTTGACCTCCAGGGAATAAAGAAATTAGAGTAATTATCTTGAGTTAGCTCTCCATAAACCTAAACAGAATTGAAACAAAAATCCTATGGTTAGTTGTTTCTACCTGGAAATATATTGCTTAAAAAGTATTACGATCAGAATATTTATTGCCACTACTATGTTCATAAAGGATATTACCTTGGAATAGATAGTGCTTCCTGATTAACTTTATTATACTGAACCAGCAATATTCACTGTTAAATTTAGCATAACATTTTAAAAGCAAGAGATGGATTAAAATATGATTTTGATGAGGAAAGTTTCCAAAATATCAATGACTCTCCAGTTGTACTAAACACCAAATTTGGTAAACAGCTGAACTCAAGTCTAATTACTGAATTGTGAGATTCAGGCTCAGCAAAAACTTCTAAATGTATATTTTAAAATGAAAGCAACTAATAAATCTGAAGTATTTGCATCAAGTTACTTGTGAAAGCAAACACTGACACTAAGGGTCATTTCTCCTTTCCTTAGACAGACCCATTTTTCCAGAATTAAATGGAAGTACAAAATAAAACAGTGCAAAGGCCTGCTGCCATTGTACACTTTTAACTTCTAATTTTATTAACCAAGGTAATTGTCCATGATTGATTATAAACAGAAATAGGTATGGATCCAAACTTGTCACACTTTGTGTAGACTCCTTAAAATAAATTCAACAAAGCTGAAAGGCCTCTCCTAGGGCTGAGTTACTGACAATAAGAGCTTTAAGTTCAAATAGGCTGGCTTTTTTTTTTTTCTTCCATATTGGTCTCATTGCCCTCAGCCCCACAAATCACATGGATTGTGACCCATGAGAGTATTGCCAAATTGCAATTCAGCCAACTGGTTGAAAGAGGTTTTGCATCCCAGTTATATAGTGGCATTTAATAAATGTTTCCTAGCATGCTTTTGCATATCCCAGTTTAGGACTTGCAATTGGACCAAAGCTTCTGTTCTGAAAGGCAAAACAGGAAACAGGTTTTTGCACTACATCAAAGACATTATACAAGTGTACAGAGCAGAGAACACAGAGGACACACCAAAATACAATGTGTGCGTGCACGCGCCCACATGCACACACACAAACTTACAGGAGGAAACACAACTAACAGTAACACATACAAGAATAGCATTTTTAAATAGAGTTGCTAGAAACATTTGTGTTGAGGAGGGAGAGGGAAAAGATAGTTGATAATCCTACGTGCTGTATATAAAGTAAAGGGGGAAATGTATACTACATGGGCCTTAAAATTATATTTGGTCCCTCAGATTTCTCAAGGAATAACTTATGACCATGTTTTAAAAGAGAATTCTAGTACTTGGCTCAATTTCCTATTTGAGGCTGGGATCCAGAAAGGCCATGGAGGACAGCATACCCTCCCACCCCCGTCCCAGTTCTCCCTCCCACCCCGATCTCAGTGCTTGCTATCACAAATCAAGCTGCTTTTGAAACTCAGGTGACGACAGCTGTTTATTTATTTCATTTTTGTACCACCCACTAGCTGAAGCTCTCTGGGTGGTTCACAACAGTAAAAATAGTGGTTTACAAATCTGATTGTGAAAGAGCACACAGGGCTGCTGCTTTGAAACACCATAATTAAAAGCCTTCAGCATCTAACTGCCTGGGCATTCTGGATTGTTTTTCAGAAATTTGAGTAATTGTACATGAGCAAGACGAAGAATCAGTATGAAAGCAGTCTTTACAACCTGATTTATAAATGGTATTCATGGGAGATGGGGGAAGAGAGAGGAAAAAGCCCTGCTTGCAGGAGCAGATACCTGCTAGGTAGAATTAATCCTCACAGGCAACTTGGGCATGAAAAATGCAAATATGAGCAAAGTTCCATGGTTCTCCCATACTTCTCTCGAAGCATTTCCAAGGGCATAGATATCTCATCCAGTAGCCACAGTCTTGGACACCTGGAGAAACCAAGCTGGTGGCATTCAGGATCCAGCCCTTCAGAACCCTTCCATGCTCCAGTCCCTGAAGTTGGGATCAAGGATCTCATTTGGCAGGCAAAGGCCACCAAAGAAGTTCCTTGAATGTTTCCCCAGTTGTAGTGGGAAGCCGGCCAGGATTCCGCACTCCTGTGGCCACCTGGGCTGAAATCCTGCCCAGATCCTCCCTGGTCCCAGAACCCTGGACTAGACTCTGGATTCAGCACATGGCAAAGCCAAGCTTTGGGAGAAAATAGCTTTATTAAAAGCATAAAATATAAGGGGAGATCCTAAAATAAGCTAAAAGGAATAAAGAGGGGAAAGGTGGGAGGGGAAAGGGAAGGGGAATTTGGAAAGCAGAAACATCAAATTTCCTGCCAACCAAGACCCCCAAACCCCAGGTCTTGTTGGCCCATTTGGACACAGAAAATAACAAAACGCAGCCTAACCTGAGCTCTTTACTCAAACACTACACCAGCTTCAGGCACAGGGTAGCACCGCTTTCTTTGGCATGGTCCAATGGCAGCAAAAGTGGAACCTCTCCTCAAAGAGGAACCCTGAGCCTTTCCGTCCCCTGAGCTTGAATTACCCACACAGCCTGGCTCATGGGGTGCTGGCCAATCTTTTAATCCAGGTCTGGGATCTCCAGTGTCCTTGGGGCATAGTTTTGGCTACCTCCTCCTTATGCATAACAAGAGCCATGCCTGCCTCCCTCCTTGAGCACTAGCTTCCTGCAGCTCTGGCACCTGGTTTACCCTGTATGTCACTTAACCCTTTCCTGCCTCCCAGAGTTACCAACCAGTTCACTTTACACCAGTAACATTTGTTTCACCCAGGGCTTGTTGCTAAACATAGTGAAGACGTAAATGCATAAAGAACAACTTCATTAGGGACTCCAGGAAAGAACATGTAAGGATCACACTGTTCAGGAGCAAAGCCCATGAGGTAACAACAATTCCTTCCAAAGCTCTTATCATCTGAAAACTGACCTGGTTATCTACTAACATCACTTGCAGGAAACAGATTGCATCCAATTCTGTGGGTGCAAATTTCTACACCTTGCAGGAATACTTTGATAATGCACCTGCAAGTGTTCCAGTGATGGTGCAACCACTGCCTAACGTAGCAAGACTTCAACATTAGGATAGATGTTGCTGGTGCAAATTTGCACTCATCATGCCAAATATATCTTTTCTGGTTTTTATCACTGATATGTTTTATAAGGAATACACAATAACCATTCTTCAAAGAAGAGTTAATTGGGGAGGGGGAATTCTTTCGATTTACAAGTAGTAAGACCATACAATTGGTTCTTTGAGAAATTGTGCTTTGCTAACTAAACGGTTGCACATACAGAACGGGAGACTACGGGAGGGCCCACATGTCATGATTAGCCACACGGTGAAGAAAGCAGTTCAGTGCAGCCTCTGAACTAGTCTACTCCAGATGTCCCCAACAGATGATCATGCACACTGGGGGCATCTGGACGTCCTCCTCTCCCCACTTGCTCTTCTTGCAGAAGCATGCATGTTCTGCAACAGGGAGGGGCAGAATAAGTAGGCTGAACAGATGGATAGATACTGCCCACTGCTGAGGCCAACCAAAAGAACTGGTGGAGGCAGCAGGTGGCTCTTCCTTGCCACCGGCCTGAAACAACAGGCAAGGATAGCAGCATGATACCAGCTGAGAGGGGCTGCTCATGAGGTCTGCCACGATCTCAACTGCACCATCATCATCATCATTATTATTATTATTATTATTATTATTATTATTATTATTATTATTATTATAACATTTCTATGCCGCCCCTTGCCGAAACTATGCTGGGCCTCCTCTATAGGAGGTCTAGCAGAACATGCCCCATCCCTGCCCAGCACGTTATATGAACACGTGCATGAAAAGGCAGCCTGACATATAACACGGCTCTGGCACATGTATATCCCCATACATGCAGAGAAGCACACATTAACACATACTGAACATAAAGCTGATACATTTTACAGATCTAGTCAAAGCAACTCTGTGCAGATCTACTTGCGAGGAAATCCCATTGAGTTCAATGGGACTTATTACAAAGTATGTGTATTAAGATTTGCAACTTATAATGAATAAACATGCGACCTTCCAACCAGTTTCACATTATAACCAAAAGAATAATCAAACTTGGGTTTAAAAATGCGTTTCTGCACCCAACCAACATGCCATGCCCTTTGGATATTTTGCTTAACATTAATGTATTACAGTGAGCAGTTTTGAAAGAAAAATTACATTCACTTCTATATCTAGCAAAATTGTACAATAAAACAGCAAATCATTCAGCCTTCTTTTGTTTTTAAATCCCAAGATATTGCAATATGATTTGGAATAAAGTCTCTATCTAAAACTAGGCCATCATATAAAGTTGATAGAGACAATGAATATCCAATTAACCAACTGAAGTAAGTGCATTTCCCTGGAAAAAATCAAGAATGCTTTTTTAAAGTGATGAAATAAAAGATGACCAAATGAGTATGGTCTAGTGAAGATGTTCAAAAAATAAAATGGATTTCATGCATTATGGAGAAAGGAGTTGGTTCTCTTTTTAAAAATCCATTTACTAAAAAACCGACAGAAGCACTGCTTTTAGCACTTGCTGAATGTACTGATTCAGGAAAGTTTTGTCATTAAAAATATACGATCTTTTTGTTTTGCCAAAACATGGCATTCTTTTTGAAGCCTTTTACTTTCCTCTAATAGAAAAGAAGTTAAGATCTGCTTTGTTTTTTCAAAATGGTTACATCACAGTACAAAACATTTTTAAGCCCTTTCCTTTTCAGTTGCCTTTTTAACTGTACCTCTGTCTGGAGAATTTAGTAATGTTGCAGATGAGGAGGACAGCCGCTTGTTAATGACTGGATCAACATGTTTCGAAAGGTTCATTGTTGAAACAGATCGCCTGTCTGGATCTAAAACAAATGGAAATCATGCTAATTGACAGCCCACATGCAGTAATATCACATCCTAGTCCTACAGAGGGGAGAATAAACAGGAGTATTTTTTTCCTATCAAATGACACCTTGAAAAATAGCAAGGACTTTTCAGGGAATGTTTTTCATAGGTGACTCAAAGTCTGGGCACAAAAGGATTTAAGGTTGAAATCCTATACACAGGTACCTGGGAGTGGGTCCAACAGAACTCAGGAGAGCTTGGGTCGGAGCAGATGTGCATATAGGATTTATTTAACGTCGTCATTTATTTAACCGTACAGCAAGATATGTTTTATGAACAGGAGGAAGCAAGCAGAATGAGCTGTTGATGTCCATCTCGGGGTGATTATAAGCAGGATGGTGCAGCAAGTCTGAGGGAAAATGGCCAATTACAGAGAAGTGCTGTATATCTAAACATGTTTGATTCCTTTAAATAGCATTACAATGAGTATCTGGCTATTAGAGAAAGATAGCCCTGTGTACTTGCATGCTTCCGAAGCATCAGCAGTTGTCTGTTAAGAGGAGGTATGGTGAGAGCATAAAAGGGAATGAAAAGTTAAATGAAAGTTTGCCCGTGGGTAAATCACAGGTGGTATACTGTGATTTTCCTGCATTTATCTGTGCTAGGCATGTGCAGCCCATACCTAAACCCACATTCTGGCCCAAAGAGGCCTATATTTCTATTTTTACTTGCCTGTTTTATACACCACTTTACACAATATGCATGTCTTTAGGTTATGTATTACTGAGTGGAATGGCAGCTAATACATTTAAATGCTGAATAAATATTGTTTTGGGTGAAGGGGGAGGTGTCCCTACAGTTAATTTTGCATAGAATAAGCACAAAAGCATCCGTAGCTGAATGGCCATCTGGACAAATGTTCTAAAATTCCATTTGTCCCATTTCAGTTGTCTCAACTACTCTACCCCTTCTTCACTGCTCTATATATGGGCTTATTTTCTTGCCACTTTGCATGCAAATCCATTCCCTGCCCATCTCCTACACCATTTATACAGTGTCTTCCTGGCTACCATGATGTAGAATCTCAGCTCTCTTGCAATTCCACTGTGATATTTTAACATCAACAGCCTTTAAATTAAAACAGTATAGCCCAATAAAATAATATCTTCCAGCATGGAATCATACAGGGCTAGCCTTTGGAATGGGTGAACTGGGCACTTGCCCTGGGCACCCAAGTAAAGCACAGTTGGTGAAAGAAGGCTGGGACAAGTAGGGCTTTGATTCTGTCTTAAACATACCCAGGATGAGGCCTTAAGGGTCTTTAACCTTCCCTCACCCCCAAAGTTTTGCAGGCTGCTCAAGTACTAACTATAAAAATGAACTTTGATTAATTAGCTTTAAAGTATTGCTTCCCTTTTCAAGTTTCAGTATGAAGTCCTTCACTTTAGATTTAAAAAAGCCAAGGAACATGGCTTTACATTGAAGCCACATTATCAAGAACTATAAGCTCTACAAATACTATATACACTATGTGGCTTATAAATGTTATATTAAAAAAGAAAGAAAGCTGCAGATGGAAAGGGGCTTGTGTTTAGCCTAGCGTGCATAGCTGTCTGCCTATACAAGCATTTGGCATTCCTTTTCCTTTAAGCCACTTAAAAGCCATTCTGCTCAAATAAGCCAAGCCACTATTTATAAAAAGGGAAGCCTATGTGGAGAGCAATAAAGCTGCTCAGAGAGATGAAACAGGTCAGACAAGAAACGAAGAGGTGTTAGGAAGACAAATTTATGTAGACATCCTCAGAAAATGATTTTCCGTGTTGTCTAGATGGATGTTTAGACATACAGAAACTGCACACTGTGGGAAGACAACAAAGCGAATAGCAAGTAGTAAACTGAAGGACAAATTGCAGCATCCATTCTCTGTATGAGGACAGTGGCATTTATTTTGCTTTTCTTATGTGTGTTTGCAGAAGAAAAAATGCCTGAAAAGCTTGGCTGACTGGGACATGTTGGGACTTGCAGACCTTTCCCCCCCATCTAGGCATGTATAGGATTGCATCCTTAAATGCTGACTTAAATGCAGTGAAGCACTGCACCAGCCGTCTTTTCCAGTGCTGCAAAATCAGCAGCTGCTTCATACTGAGCATGGAACAGATATTTTGAAAGTACTGAATGGAAAAGGCACAATGTAAAAGGGGTTTCAACAGTATGAGAGAGAAAGAGAGAGCCCACAGAAGAAAACAAGATTAAATAAGTATATTTTATTGTCCCCTAAAATTGTGCTTGAAAATATAGTTTCTAAAGGCAGAAACTTCTCCAAATAGTGTATGTAAATAGGATCTATTCAAAATGGTATCCTGTATTTTGAGCACTTGTGCCACATTCTTTAAGTCACCCAGTAATAAATTTCAGGAAGAGAATGGGGGCTATCTATCGGCTCTAGTCTATGCGGCATGTGTTAGGCATGCATGATGTCTAACAGATGATGGTTTAGTTACTGGTCCTAATCTGAGGAGATAACTACTGGTGAAAAAATAAAAAAAATCACAGTGATTTATGTACCGGGTTTTCTAGCACCACCCAGAGGTCTGAAGTGGTACTCGAAGCCTGCTAAATCGAGAAAGGTGAATGGTGATTCAAGAAAATAACCTAGGGACAGAATGCAAGACAATGATTTATAGAAGTAAATAAAAAAGTTAAAGGTAGCAAACAAGTTATAGAGAGAGAAGCAAAGAACATTGTTATGAAAAAAAACCCAATTGTTTATTGACCTTGGAGGACAATGAAATAATAATATAGACTTCCTATTATTTGTGAGAGCAATGATACACATATGTGTTCCATGATAAATGAAGTAACACCCATTAGTGTATTTGCATAGGAGGAAATGAAAGTGTTTAATTCACATAAACAATTCCTATATTAAATATACAGTGGTACCTTGGCTCACGAACTTAATCCATTCCAGGACTCTGGTTGTGACCCAAATCGGTTGTGAGCCAAGTTAAATTTCCCCATAAAGTTAATCCATTCTATAACCATTTTTTAAATCAGAAAAATGTGAAGCAAAGTAACAACAACAAGGATCGCGGCCATCTCCCCCGCCCCAAGCACAACCGAGATTGCGCCTGTCATCCCTGCACATGCCTGTCATCCCTGCACACGCCCGTCATCCCGGCGTGCTGGGGGTGGGGGGGAGAGACGGGCGTGATCGCGGGCGCACTGGGGGAGGGAGAGATGGGCACTAACGGTGTGCTGGGGATGGGGAGATGGCCAGGATAGCAGTTCTGTTCATGCAGGGGAGGTGCCTGATCAGAGGCGTGCTCCTGCAGGAAAGACAGGCGGAAACTCAGCCATCTCCCCCGCGGCTCTGCTTTGCTGCTCCCGTCTTTCCAGTAACAGCACGCCTCTGATCACAAACGCCTTCCCTGCACGAAAGCAACTGTGATCAACACCCAAAGCAGTGTTCGCAACCCAAGTCAAAAATTTTCAGAAATTTTTGTTCGTGACCTGATTTGTTCGTGAACCAAGGCATTCGTGAGCCAAGGTGCCACTGTACGGAAATATACTAGCTATCAGTTCATATTGATATCCATAGAAAATCTCTGGAAAAAATACAAAGAAGATAAAACACAAATATAATTTGAAATACCTGATATTTGATCAAAAATCAACTTTTTCAGAGGAAAGGCAAAAGGTACCTAAGGGTTTATCAGTATTCATTAACATTAGCTATACTAACCAATGGAAAGCTCCTCCGTGTCCCACCCCCAGCACCCAAATAGCAGTATTCAGAGCAAGAACAAAATTTATGTTTGCTTCCCTTTTTAAAAATATTACATTGTTTCTCTCAATATTTATTATTAATAATGACTAGCAAGTACATGATTTGAAAAGTTGGGCTAAGGCAGACAGACTGTTGGCACACACAGAAGGTCACAAAGAAAGCAACAAAGCAAAGTAAGTGCAAATACATATGGAGTTAAAAAGACTAATCCGTCATCCTAGCATTAGTTCAATTTCTCATCCTTGACTGCCAAGCATCAAGTTAAGAAGCATGCACAAGTATGGAAGCAATTCAGTCTGCGAGAGGATTCCTCACTTAGAATCAGTAGACATGTATCAGCACAAAGACAGAGACAAAAGGTAAGAAACCTGGGCGCTGCTTTTACCTGTATTATTAATGCCACTGCTGCTATGAAGTGTCCCTCCCCAGGACCACCTATTTTGCTTTTGCCTCTGCTTCTGGCTCCTCTCAATTGTACGGCGCACGACAGCTTCATGGCGCTCCTAATGAGACAAGACAGCCCTTTTCTGATACCTTTCAAAGTGAATATGTAGGCAATACAAATAAAAGTATTAATCATCAGGAGTACCCAGAAAGCTGTTCTGAATTCTTCGTGCCGTCCACACATGCCATCACTGCTAATGAACAGTGGTCCTCAGATTTCTTCCTGTCCATCATGGGCAAGAAAGGATGCTCACATGGGTGCCAGGATGATGTCAGTACCAGAAGTGGTGAGTGAGCCTCCGCTCTACCAGTCAAGGTATATTATGGGGTTTATGGCCCTGTGGGATCTAGGACATGCAGCACCACATACTGCAATGCAAATCTGCAGTCGGTTCAGATAATGTTGGGCTGCAGTTTTCATCACAGGCAAGAGAGATAGGAGTTATTGTCCGGCATCATCTAGGCGTTCCCCACTCATAGCTGGCTGAGGGATGTTAGGACTTATAGTCCAACCATATATGGAAGGCACCAAGTTGGAGAAGTTTGTGTGTTTCATGTGTGTTTCAGAAAAGTCCCAACTAAATCTCTTCTTCTACAACCTCCTCCATCAGAAAGTTAAATGTGATCCTGTCTGGAGATCATTTTAATTTGTTGCTGATATCTCTGTGAGTCAAACTATATGTTGTGAAATTACCTCTTTAAAGCAAAGTTGTTTTCACTGTTACAAGTTCTTTCATTGCCTAAGAAGTAATAAAGAAAATGTCTTGCCCAAGAAGAACCCCTAAGAAAATTGACGTACCTTGTCCTCTTCAATTCGCAGTCTTCGTTTTTCCTCAACTGCAGCTCGCCTCCGTTCTTCTTTCAGCCTCTGCTCTTCTAATTTCTTTCTGCGCTCTTCTAAGTGTTTCTCATAATATTGCCTTGCTCTCTCTTCTTTTTCTAACCAGGCAATTTCTCTTGCGGCTGAACAGCAACAAAAGAAAATTTCATTCTAATTTTGTTTGCTTGAATCATGCTAATACACACCCTTTAATCAAGCCTACAGCACACCAATATTAAGGGCATTCTCAGCTTCAGTCTCCTTCTCACAGGTGATTTTCATTATTGGGCAAGAGATACAGCACCTCATTAAAATTAACCCAGGGGAAGACAAATTATTTTTATATACACTAGAAAGATCTATCAGAATTGTGATTATCTATGAGTTTGGGGGTGTTAGGAAGCATTTTCTGATATACCCTGGAGCCAAGCTCCAATATTACATATACTTACCCTGGAGTGAACCCCACTGATATCTGAGCAAACATGTCATGTAGCACAGTCCCTACATCTCCCTGAATTTGGAAAGCAATGTAGATCTTTTCAATGCAGCCACTATGTGTGCTCTCTCCGGCTGACTCCTGAGAGCATGATGCTAACGGGCGACTTTTAAACAAATCTAATAAATAAATAATAGCTTGAGTTGGCCCCATATGGCGTGATCAACCTATTTTCATGCAGTCTTCCAAAGGTGCCCTAGGAAAAATATGACACAATAGTACAAGAGGGAGGATCCTCCTCCAGAATGGACATGATGTACAGAAGTCCTTCTGGTTAGAACTTCACCTGGTCCGACTGGAGGAGTACCAAATCCACAAGCATGAGCAGCCTGCACATTGTTCTTAGTGAGAATGCAGCCAAACGGGAGAGCCACCAACTCCCAGACCAATTGGACTGACCAGTATCTCTAGCTTGACATCCGATTCATTACAGACTCCAGATAGAGCTTGCACTCCTTCACTTAGTTGTGATTAAAAAGGAGAAACAGAGCATCTCCAGATAATCTTTCCTGGATTTACATGTTAGCAAATAGGAAGAACAAGAGGGAAAATTACAACCCTAAAAGATACATAGAATTGGACAGTAGTTTTCCAGCTCTGACATCTTGTTTGTTGTTAGTCGCGAAGTCGTGTCCGACCCATCGCGACCCCGTGGACAACACTCCTCCAGGCCTCCCTGTCCTCCACCATCCCCCAGAGTCCACCCAAGCTCACACCAACTGCTTCAGTGACTCCATCCAGCCACCTCATCCTCTGCCGTCCCCTTCTCCTTTTGCCGTCAATTGTTCCCGGCATTCGACTCTTCTCCAGGGAGTCCTTCCTTCTCATCAGGTGGACATCTTCTTAATTAATATTTAATCTCTATACTGCCCAACAGCCTAAGCAATCTGTACCACATCAGAACCATAGCAAAATAGCACCTCCGATTCCCAACTGGCCTAAAACTCCCATACTCTCTCACCATTGGTTATATTGGTTAGGAATGATGGGAGGTCAAAATATCTGGACAGCAAGTGCCTCCGGCCTAAAAGACATGAAAAGCTGCTGGAACTCAGAAGAATGTCTAGAGCCACTGACACATCTTCCCAACTCCCAGCGAGAATTTCTAAGGTAACCAAAGCTGCTCCTGCACCTGCCCCCCCCCAAAAAAACCCTTGTCTGAAACAAATGTAGTAAACTATTAGATGCTCCTTGAAGTACTAAAGCCAGTATGCACTTAATCATCTTGCAAAAGCTGGCAAGTTGTTCTAAACAGCTAGGAATGAATTCCTAGTCTCTCCTCTCCCTTCCCACCCCATATTAGATTGGTCAGTGGTCTGTGAGAAGGGACTGCCTTGGACAGTTTCTTAGCTTTCTTAGCTTCTGCCCAGGACTTATTGCTCAGCCTCAGCAAAAAGAAAGAAAGAAAAAAAAAATCACTCAGGTTTGCTTTTGGGCTGATCTTAATGCAGTTATTTCAGTTCTGCTTTAAATCTGAACTCAGATAATGAAAGTATATAAAATAAGTATTAGGGTTTCTGCTATATTGCACACACCATTCTGGGGTTTTGCTGCAGAAAGGTGGCCAACAGAAGGTTGTTATGAGAGCTATTTTAAAATAATACAAGGTGTGTGTAATCATGAAGCTTTCATGTTGAAATCAAAATGACATTAAGCAGTTTTGATTGTCACACTGAGGAATTTAATGTTTGATTATGCAAGAACTTATTACACTGGAAACTGCCTTATTGCAAACCAGATTAATCTGTGTCCTTCTCCAACTTCAGGTTCTCAGGAAGAAATTTTCCCCATCACCTGCTCCTTGACTTTTTGACTGGATATGCCAGGGTTTGAAGCTGGGTCCCTCTACATGCTCTACCAGGGATCTATGGTACCTCCACAAATCATAATATTCTGCGTTTCATGGAATTTCAATTTCTTGTGGTATTGTTCTTGTTGTTCAGATTTAACAGAAGTCCTTTTTACAAAAGGAATAGGAGTGCTAGCTTTTGCTGCAAACCATCCAGAGAACTTTAGCTATTGGGTGGTATAGAAATAAAATTAAAATTAAAAAAAATGGTCAAATGGTCAGATGATTCAAACTATTTATTGCAAAACCACCAGAAAGAAAATATTTGTCCAGGGTTTAATGTTCCTACTGCAGTTTTGTTCCTAGCATCCATTCTAATAAACTCAAATGTTCACTTTGGATTACATTCATCTCTGTCTCTTCTTTTGCACTTGCTTATTCTTCTCAAAATAATCAAATCATGGTAATTTGATTAGAAGTCTCATTTTGCATCCATGGCAGATTAAAATGGTTTAACCATATTAGCCAACTTCCTTATGAAATATATTGGCCAACTTAATTATACACATACTGTGTTTATGTACTTTTATCATCTTCCAAGACAAAGCAAAAACATCAAAAGGCTTTGGTATAAAGAGCCTTTTGGTATGTTTGCAACAAAGAGACACAGTTGCAACATGATATATGTGTGTGTGTGTCCAACCATTTATTCAGTGTACATAATACCAGAGACCAATCACATGAGATCACCACATTAAGGTACATGATTGTAGGTAAGAAACAACCCTTAAAAGGTCATCCTTACTAACATTAATGCTTTTTCTCCCATCTCTAAAGCTAGATCAAAACATGCGGATGACATATTATTAAAATCTATATCTTCCATTTTCGCTCCAAAGACACCAGAGGCAGCTCACAACAAAATAAAAATACCTACACAACTAAAAATAAAGAAAACTCAATAAATACAAATACAACAGAGTATAGGAGTAGCAAATAAACAACACTCTTCTACTGGTAATTTCTGAGAATACCAGCTAGACTGACTGTGACAAGGCAACACTTTTCAAAGGTGACCCCCTGGAACTCTTGTTGCTAAAAATATAAAAGCAACCGATACAAATCTTATCTAAACCTCAATCACATCTCACCAGTTTGCCAACATGAGGACAGACAACTTCAATGGTGAGTTATGGATTTTGCTTTAAATGCCAAGAAAAATCCTGAATGTAAAAATGAACTTGAGCTTCTAAATCCCATAGAATTTACCCTTGCCTATTTGAAGTCAGAGGTTGGAAAGGAGAGCTACTTAAAATTTCTGCTGCTATGAACGAACTGAAGTACAGTGCAATGACATTAATAAGATGCGTATTCCAGCTTGCACCATAGTTGCACTATCCATAATTTAGTTAGCAAATTGGCAATCCAAGGGCAAATAGCAAGAAGGTCCCTTTTAGTATGGCGTATTTCAACAGACAAATACCTAATAATCTAGGCATCAAATCAAGAAGATCTGTTTCTTTCTCCAGTACAGGAATAGATAGCTTTAATAATGTCCTACATTTAAAATGCCCAAGTTTTAACTCAGCCCCTCATTTCCAATTTTTTGCGCTTCTTCTCCTCAATTTTTCCTCATATAACCAAATACATTTGTTTCTTGTATTGGTCCATTTGCATCTGGAGAGTAACAGCATAAAACAACCTGTCTGGAGAGAAGACTGGGTTCAAAACAGGAAGAAAGGGAAAGCAAAAGACCAGGGAGCACTCTAAACCAGCAGTCACTTAGTGGTGGATTTAACGAATTGCCCACATAGCCACTTCTCCATCAAGTCCATGCTGACCACATAATGTACCAGTACAGAAGGTCAGAAGCACACTACAGTCCTGAGAATTAGACAAGAATCCAAGGAAGGCATCTGGGTGAGATGTGCACAGAACAGTGAAGTGAGCACAAGGAAGCAACAAGCAAATGCTCTGACTGGTTAACCAAGAAGCAAATAATTGCCATCTCTTCAAGATTCTGCGGACAAAATCGGTGTACAGTGTGCTAACAGTGTGGATATGGGCATCTTTTATTCAGATGGCTTATGTAGAAATATTGTAGTGGTCACATACTAGGAAATGAGGAAGGCAATCCCTGCCATAATTCAGGAAAAGAAAGAAAGAAAGAAAGAAAGAAAGAAAGAAAGAAAGAAAGAAAGAAAGAAAGAAAGACAGACAGACAGACAGACAGAAAATAAACTATACTGGATGAAAATAATTATTCTCTAAACAAGCCACTCATTATTTATATTTGTTCAAATTTTTGTGATGACAAAAAAAAGGTCAACATTGGGTGGCATTCAGGATCATAGAAGTGAACATCTGCTTGCACAACAGGACTTCCCCATCCTCTCTTCCTTCCTGGTCCCCATCTGCTCCAGATGGTCTGCCAACCGTTTGGAGTATATACGGCTGCAAAGGGTAGGGCAAATCTGTTTCATCAACAGCATCTGTTCCACTGGGGGAAGGCCATCACTGGACATAGCTTCCATATAGCCTCACATGCCTGATACTGCCTGATCTTGGAAGCTAAGCAGGGTCAGGCCTGGTTGAAACCTGGATGGATGACTTAATGTTGTAAATTGCCCAAAGATCATTGGCTACAGGCAGTATAGAAATGTAACATTTAATAATAATAATAATAATAATAATAATAATAATAATAATAATAATAATATTGCCGTATAGTTTTCTATTAGGTTAAGATAACTGCTGCATCAGCTGTAAATCTCAGCAAGATTTGTTCTCCTTCCTTCAATATTACTGAATGATTTACTGAAAGATGTATTGATTGGTTTGCATGGTGATGGGGA